GGGGGGGGGCACATCGCAGGTCGACACCCTCGCGAGCTCAGGGTGTGAGTGAGCGGAGCACCAGTGGTTCCCTTCCGACCACGCAGAACGTAGACACTGCATCGGCCCATACAGAAAAGCTACAAGGCGGTGGCCCTTGCCCCCAGCAAGCCAACCTGAATCTAAATTGGCTTCTATTCATTTCCCCAGGGGCAAGAGCACAGAGGACAGTAGTAACATGGCTGTCAGAAAGTCAAGATGCACTTCGCATAGAAAAGCATGTCATGACTTTTCCAGCACCTAATAGACACAGTAGGGGCACAGCCAGCAAAATTTTGACAAATGAGACTGGGCTTTGCAAGTAAGCAGTTTATTCAAGCCAAAACACAAGGGTGGCTACAGGGTGGGCGGATGGCAGAACTTGAGCTGGAGCCAGTGCTCCGAATTAGCATTTTTAAATAGAGAAAATGGGGAAAGAGAAGGGGGCTCTGAAAATTGTTTGGAAGAATAGCATAAGCTTCTGTGGGCTTCCGGAGGTTTCATCCATTTTGATAACACAATGCCAGGCAGAGGATAGTCACAAGGAGCAGGTGTGTGGCGTCCCAGGGTGGTTCTGTCTCAGCGCCAGCAGCCAGGCAGTTCCAGGGTGTGTCCCGGGCCAGGCAGATGCACACAGCACACAGCCTCTTTCATGAGCCGGCTCCTGCTTCTCTGCACTCACCCTGGGCTCGCCACCAGGCTGTGGGGCTGTGCCTCAGCAGGGCTGGGTGGGCCGGCCGTCACCAGCTCAGGATGCCAGGGCAGTACTTGTCCACCAGCCCCTGGTAGTAGGGCCGCAGCTTCTCCACGTCTGGCAGGTTGGGGCACTTGGTGTAGAGGTCAAACTTGCTGTGGCAGGGGAGGGGCAGTGAGCCTCAGGAAGGTCCTCTGGCCCCATCCCCACCCCACAGCGTGGCCCTACTTGAACTCCTGCACCCAGGGCAGCATGGCCAGGTCCCGCTGGTCACACAGCTGCCGGTAGTCGCCGCCCGTGTGCCATGGGTAGAAGGAGTGGAAGCGGACCATGAAGAAAGCCTGGGGGTACACAGCCTGCTCAGGGCGCCCCAGAGGCAGGAGAGGCACAGGGACCAGGCCCTCCGCCCTCCGCACCTACCTCCGGGGGCAGGGAGAACTTGTTGAACTTCATCACCTGGTACATGTACTCTGCAGGTGAAGGCATGGGACATCACCGCGGGTCCTCGCCGCTGGCCGCAATGCCCCTGCCCCCAGGCTGCAGGCCTCACCATCGTGGCCCCAGGACATCAGGACGTTCTCCAGCCCACAGTGGGGTCGGTACATGCCAAGTTCTGTGCTGCAGTGAGAGACGGGGTGAGGGGCTTGGGAGTGGCCTGGGAGGGGCAGGCAACGTGGGAGGGCAGCACCTGTATCGAGGGTCCTGGAGGTCGGGATTGGCCTGGAAAGTGGAGTCACGAAAGACCACGGAGGGCTGAGGACGGCAGCCAACAGGGAAGGTGTCACCGACGACAGCCCACTGGGGAGGAGCCAGCGACCGTGGGTGGGGCTACCAGGTGCAGCACTCCCCCCCAACCCCCTTGGTGTCCCCAGGCCACCCACTCCCACCTGTCCTTACCTGGGGCTCCCCTGACAGAACCAGGATCTTCCCCAGGTCATGCAGGAGCCCAACCAAGTGGAACCAGTCTGGGGGGAGACGGACAGGGCGGGG